TTCATTTCCCCAAATCTATATTCTTTTATACTTTAGTCATAGGTCTTCATCTTCAAAATTACAAAATATTGTAAAAAGATGAAGGAGACTGCTGGACAACTACTGGATTAGTTACAATGGTCAAGATGAATACTTTCAGAAGCCATTTACCTGATTGATTCACATAGTGTTTCTTTAACCTTTACTAGTGAGGCTAATATTTTGCTCTTTCCCATCCACGCCAGCTGTTCTACTATTTTTAATTATTTTATTTTTAATTATTTTAATCTGAAGTTTTTATTGATTAAATATCTCTATATCTCTTTGCATTAACTTTGTGGGGCCATTAAATTGAATTGCTAAAGACTAGGCATCTGAAAATAACAAATCTATTTTTCTCACAGATCTGCAGGATCTTAAATCAGTGTCACTGAACCGAATTCAGGTGTGGGCAAGGTTGTCCTCCATCTGCAGGCTGCAGTGAAGAATCGGGTGTTTTGTCCCTTTTGGCTTCGACTGGCCTCTACCACTCCTGTGGCCAGTCTCTGTTGCAACAGCAAGCAGAAATACCAAAATGGCACCCAGGATTTAGAAGCAGATTTACTTACATCCACAGGCACTGATGGGAATCATTCCAGAATATCAGGCCCTGATGTCTGGTGGTCTGGGGCTTATATGGGATAAGCAAGCAGTAAGTAAAGAGGCAGAATGCTTTGTCAACTGGGGGTTGATTTATACAATGTGCATCACAGTGGGCAGAGACAGAAGCAACTGGAACTAGAACAGGAACTATTACCTAGGCAACTAACAAAGTGAAGAATCCTGGCTGGGGGGCCATTTGCTGCTACACTGTAAGTAGAATAGCTGTTTTCTCTGCCTGTCTGAGTTAAATCTTCTTTCACTTCTTGTGCATAAGGATACATGTGATTGCACTGAGAGTCCATCAGGATATCCAGGTAATCTTGTTGTCTCAAAATTTTTCACTGAATGACTTCTGAAAAGTGCTTTCTCCAGATAACAACATTTATGGTTCAGTTTTGTCAGAGATGGGTATTCCATTGCCATTCAAATATTGTAGGTGTGTGAATTCAGCAAAATAATCCAATATAGTCCAGTAGTCCATAAAGTAGTGGGTTATCTGAATGAGTGCCAATGTCAGAAGTTGTTGACTTGAGCCTTTTACAGCTCAGCATATTAATATGGCTTTACATTTTTTTTTTTTTTTTTGGTGGAACCAGGGATTGAACTCAGGCCCTTGCACTTGCCAGGGAAGCGCTTATTCCACTGAGCCACCTCCCCGGTCGGTCTTGGCTTTACTTTTTATATCTCATTTTTATACTTTTCTGCTGGATGGCCAAGACCAAGATAAAGCAAGACCTATATAACAAGATGAAGGACCATTTTGTATCTGTATATACAAAATAGGATAGATATACAGCTACTTTCTCTTAATTCAATGAGAAGAAAGATTTGTACTAATAGTGTTTAGACAAGATATCATATCTGCATCTTGTACTATGCATAACTACTAGGAAGACAATATGCAACGTATCAATTTTTTGGAAATGTCCTAGTCTGTTTTGAAACTGTCTTATTGCTATTTGTTTCTCAATAAAATTAATAAAAAAAAACACTTATGGTCTCTGATGATTTGGAGCTGAAATCTCTATGTCACCTCTTGCTTTTTTTTTGGTGGAACTGGGGATTGAACTCAGGTCCTTGCACTTGCCAGGGAAGCACTCATTCCACTGAGCCATCTCCCCAGCCCCTGTGTCACCTCTCTTCAGGCTGATACATTCCTATCCTAGATTATAAAGTCAATGGAACACAGCTCACACATGTTCTGTTCATTTCTGTGTGTTCACTTCTTAGAACAGATTTTTGTTTTTTTTTTTTTCGGAACTAGTGACTGAACTCAGGCCCTTGCACTTGCCAAGGAAGTGCTTATTCTGCTGAGCCATCTCCCTGGCCCGTGTGCTCAGTTCTTAGAAATCACAAACAAGAAGGCCTGCTACATGATAGCCATTCACTGCACATCTGCTGAACCAAGCATTAAGTATTACCCAGTCACTGTGATCATCATTTAGAATGGGGAGTTTTTGTTTCACATGAGACGACATGAGTAACAACATTAGCAGGAATTGATATCAAGAAACTATGTTTATAAAGTATTTTGACAACTAAGCCTTCTCCATTCACAATCCAGGCTGCTCCATGAAGGAGCAAACTTTGTGAGTGTAGTTTCCAGCAACACTATTTTCAAATTAGGTTTGTTAAGAACACCTATTTCTTTTTTTTTGCTGAACCAGGGATTGAACTCTGGCCCTTGCGCCTGCCAGGAAAGTTCTTATTCCACTGAGCCATCTCCCCGGCCCCAAGAACACCTATTTCTTGAAGTGTTTAGAAATCTCTAAATTTTTGTTTATTAGTCTTAAGAACACTGAAAGACATTTTTCCAGTTTGTGGCCCGATTGTGGGCATTGTTCTGAGAATCCAGACAGTGTGTGTGTGTATATGTGTGTGTGTGTGTGTGTGTGTGTGTGTGTAATCAGTTCTATTTTTATTCAGAATGCCAGAGTATTGTATTGGAAGCTTTTAAGACTAACTTGTTCCTTCACATAAGGGTCATTCTGCTTTAAATTTACAAATATGGCTCTAAATTTTCAAATTCTCAAATTCTCTTTAAACCCCAAAAGTTGCCATAGATGTATAAAATATCACCAAAATAATGCAACTGGGTCTGGGGAGATAGCTCAGTACAATAAGTGCCTGACTGGCAAGTGCAGGGTCATGAGTTCAATTCCTGGTATTGAAAAAAAAAAAAAAAAAAAGCAACTGAGATTTTTAAATAGTAACTCTGTCCTAGGCATGCAGCCATATGCAAATATGTCTCTCCATCAAAGGTATCATCTCAGGAACAGATGATCACAAAAGGTTTTGTTCTGGATTTTCCTTCACGGAAAACCATACATGAAAATCGATCCTGCTATGTTGGTAATTCTAGTTTTCAGCCAGAGTCGTTAATCCAGGTAGGATGATTCTGCTTAAAAATAAAAGATTCATTTCTTAAGTGACTTAAAAGTATGATTTCTCATAACAAGGTGCTTAGGAGATAGTGTGAAAGGGCTAGTAGTTCTGATCATCATGTTCTTTCCCAATAATGACAGCAAAGGAGAGAGTTCTCTCCTTTCCTTTCTTTTATTTGCTTTTTAGTTGGAACACACATCTTTTTCAAATGTTACACAAGGACACTATCATCTTCCCATTGGTCAGATGGGTCACCTAGCTTTTTCCATCAAGGAGGAGTGGAAAAGCAAGTTTCTGGCATATTAATTTTCTTTCTTTTCATAAAAGAATTAGGTCTGTTCTCAGTAGGGGCACACTGCTCAAAGTCATAATTACAAGAGACTTTACAAAGCCCTTTAACACAGCCCCTTTTATTCTCATGAGCAACTCCTCTAGGGATCTAGAAAGGCTTCTTGATGGTGGTGTTCCGGGGGAAGGCAAAGAAGTGAGAAGGGATACTAACCAGGTAGCTGTGATGGCGGGCCAGCCCTACCAACAGAAGAAATGTAGACTGTGCATAAGAAACTCATCTAAGGCAACCCGGCTTTTAAAGCCCTCAATACAGACCCTGAGGAGGAAGGTGGTAACGATGCAGGCTACTACCACATCCCAGGCATCATGCTGGCCAGGCTACTTCAACAACAGTTCACGTCCATTGCTCCATTTCATTCTCAACCACGGGCAGGAAGGAGACAGTCCATATTATAGCTAAGGAAAGTGTGGTTTCAGGTCACATAGTAAGCGTGGCTCTGTGATGAGGACTCCAGTTCTTCCTCCACTATTGGATACTTCTTTATACTCTATTGTTTTCCCCATTGGAACTCCTATATGCTCTCTAAAAGTTGGTCTCTGAGCTTTCTGCCATTCAGGCCTCATCAGGTGTAAAAGGGGAATGATTCTACCTTTTCTAAAGCATTTCTAAGAAGAGTGAAGGTGGTAAGCCATGTAAAATTATTATTGTACAATTTATCTCACTGTATTATAATTTTAGGTTATGTCGCTACATATAATCCAGGGCAGTTTTCAAGTATTTTGCAAGGACGCTCTCTGTCTTAATTACACAGAACTTCAAAGAGCTTATGGTTAAGTGCTTTATACTTGTATTGAAAATATGAATAATATTTAAAAACAGTACCAACCAAAAGCTCTTAGCTGTCCAAGTGATGACATCATAGGCTACAGGAATCCTCCCCCAAACTGTAATTCTGTGTGAGGGAAGGAGAAAAGGGCAAGCGAGGAGTGTATATTGCTATGAAAGACAGTCTGACTCCTCTAGAAACCCCAGGGGTCACCGGACCTCACTTGTAGAACGCTGCTTGGGCTGGAGCCTGTGTGCCGGGAGCTGGCCTCTCGGTCCGGCCTGAAGAATGACCTCGGACTCCGCGCGTCCTGAGGAGGAAATCTAGCGCCTGAGAGGCCCAAGCAAGCAGAAGCCCGGGCTCCCTCACGCTTCCTCGCAGCGACTGCAGCTTCTCGTAGTCCAAAGCGGCCTCATCAACTGTGCCTCATCCGCCCCGGCCGCTCTCTGTTAGGCAACCCCCGAGGCCACCTCGCTCTGGCTCCCCTCCTTGCGCGACCCTCTAGGTTGCCTGGGTCCCCCGAGTCCACAGAGCGGCCCCGACCCCCGCCTGGGCGCAGACGTATGACTTCCATGGCAACCAGGCGTCACCGCCCCTGGGCCCCGCCTACCATTAGGCTAAACCATTGACTTGCTCCCAGGAGGGGCGAAGAAGGAAGGGATTTGGTACAGCGCTGTAAAACTTTTATGTCAAATTTTGCTCACTTGACGTGAAAGACACATTAATTTATCTCTTCCACTCGCCGGGCTTCGAGGGTAGCGCAGCGTTTAGTCTTCAGCTTGGACACCCCCGCTGCAACCCATTGGTCTGGCCCGTCCTGGAGTCTCGCGGTCAGCACAAGTGGCGAAGGGGCGTGGTCTCCAGCCCTAAGTCATCTCAGGGGCGGGACTGCCAGCCGGGTGGGGGAGGGGAGGGGAGGCGGTCAAGATGGCGCTAGGAGAGTGATTCTCCCCGGATACCCCTACGACTGCGGCGATACCGGGGCGGGGGAATCAGACCCAAACTGCCCGACTTCCTCCTCTCCCCCGCCCCCGGAGGCCTATTCTTCGCGTCCTCCCTTCACCTAGGGGGGCGGGCCAGATTCTCGGGACACCATGTCGGACTCTGAGGAGGAGAGCCGGGACCGGCAACTGAAAATCGTCGTGCTGGGGGACGGCACCTCCGGGAAGGTCAGTCTTCAGCTGGCGCGGCCCGCCGCCCGGCGTCGCCCGAGTGCCCCGAGCCGGCTGCTTTAGGCCCGGGCCGCCGTGGGTGGCCGGGGGGCGGACGGAAGTGGGCGCGCGGCGGAGGCGGACGCGAGCTGCCCCGCGCCCGCTAAGAAAACGACGCCGTCGGTTCCGCCCGCCGGCATCGCCGTCCGCTTCAAGACTCCGGCCAGCGTCGCCTCCCGGGGAGGCTTTCCCGCCTCTCCGGGGAAGGACTTGCAGAGCTCCGCCAGCCTCCTCCCTCCTGCGCGCAGCCCGGCTCACCTGCGCCCCCGCCCTTTCCGGGCCTGATGCCGGCTCTGCGCCTGGAGCTCCCGGGAGCTGCGCCCAGGAGGCGACTCCCTGGTGCTTATTAGGGACCCGCGCTCGCTGCTCGGGTCCCTCAGGGCACGTTGCCAGCCTGCCTGCGATTCCTCCGTCAGATGCCCAGCGATAGGGATCCCTGCACAGGGTGAACCGTGAACATACGTGAACATGCACACACAGCTGCTAGGGTTCGGTGTACACTCAATAAACGCCAGCCGGGCCCCTCCGTTCCCAGCACCGCACCAGTCAGTATGAGCATGCGCTCAGCAGAGGGGTATGGCGCCCCTCTGGTGGGCAGGATGCCGAGGGTCGAGGTGCCAGCTTGGTAGCGGCAGCCCGCCCTTCGAATCTAGCCGGGCGGCCATGCTGTCAGCGAAGGAGAGCGCGGGAGCGATCCCCCGAATTCCTAGGCTAGGAGCGCAGGGTTGTGAAATGGGATAAACTGCCCTGTACTTGCTTTAGGAAGAAGGGACCTAGGATGTTGAGGGCCTGTGACCCGCGACCCAGCGCGGTGCGGGGCCTCTGTCCAGGGTGCCAGCGCACCTGTCGCTTCTGCCCGGGGCGCCAGCGCCAGCGCACGCCGGGAGCTGCCTGTCGTCTCCCTCCTGCCGCTGCAAGTGGCCCGTTTTCCGCTTCGCATTTCCGTGTTGCTCCGGTAGTTGGGTCGCTGCTCTGCGTCCTCCGGCAGCCCGCACTGCACCACGCTGCTGCTGCTGCTGGCTCTGAAGCGCGAGGTTCTAGCGCTCATGGAAAAGATGGCACTCTGGTGCAAAAGTTGGATGTCCTGTCGACAATTTAATGTGCTGTGATGACCCTTTAACTATTTTGGGATAAGGAAAGAAGGTGGGGCCAATTCATAAAGTATTCTAGGAGGTGTTTTTACACTTAAAAACTTTTGTTTTTGAGTAAGTATATTGTTCTAAATAAACGAGCTGTTTAATGCCTTTACTATGCAAATATTTTAAGTTAGATTTCTATCATTTTCTCATTTAGGGTTTTTTTTTTTCTTTTTGTCATTTTGAGACAGGTTTTCACTGTGTACCCCAGGCTGGCCTTGAACACACAGCAGTCCTCCTGCCTCAGCCTCCCAACTGCTGGGATTGCCACTGTGCAGCAGCACCCGGAGCTCATTTAGTTTTTTAAATTTAAATTTAACTTTTATTATGATTATTTTGAGATAGGATCTCCCAGAGTAACCAAGAGTGCCTTTGAACTTGCAGTCCCAGTGCGTCTGCCTGGCAGTGTTGAGATTACAGGCCAGAGCCCTAATGTCCAGTTTATTTAACTCTTCTGTCGTGCACCTACGTTTTTTCATTTTGCAAAATTCTTTGGTTTCATTAATGACTGAGCTTCTTTCTCATTTTAAATTCTGACAATCTATAGTAGTAGTACAGTTGTAGAAAAGACTCTTAAAATTACCTGTTGCCCTGTATGTGCTTCTATTTCTTTATACTTTTGTTCATTTTCTTTCTAGTAATTATGCACTCTACACCTGAGTTAAAATTTCTTAGTTTTGTTTCTAGTTTTTTAAAAATTGAGACTATCATCCTTGATTTCCCTCTGTTGCTTGTTTACTGTGAATAATTGTGAGTTTTCATCTCTGCTTAAAGCTCTGGCTAGCACTGGATTGTATTTCTGTGTTACTGAATCAGGACCATCATTCTGCATCAGAAGAGTAACAGTGGTGTTTTGGTGGTACTTCTACTGTTTATCTTCTTGGATAATCTCCTCAAACTGAAACAGCTTTTTCTGTCAGAAATTTTCTGTGTTCCAGGGAAGGGTCTACAGGGTGTTCAGAGTCTCACTACTAGATTGGACTTGTAGTGATCCGCCTGCGTACAGCCTGCCAAGAGCTGGGATTACAGGCGCGTGCCACCACGCCCAGCCTCATGCCCGAAATTTTCTGAAGTGAACATCTGAAACCTGACTTTCTGACCTCACCTACACCCACATTAGTCTATCAGGCGTTTCTTTCTCCATCTTCTATTTAGCCTTCAAATGATCAGCAGCTACCAGCACTCCTACTCCGTTTCTTTTCCTGACCTTTTGCGAACAGCTTCTCCGTCATCCATGTTTGTGTCTTGACCTAACTCATCACTATTTTGTTAGCATTAGCTGCCCAGTTGGTTTTGACTTTGAGCACTTCTGTATACACTGCCAGGCAGAAGCGACAGGGGAGGTGTCCGCTGACCACTAGCTCCGCCCTCGGGTGACACGTGCTGTGCGCCTTCCTGCTCTGATTCGTAACTCTTAATTTTAATGTACATCTTCTTAAGAATTTTTGAGGCAAAACATTCTTTTTTTGTCATCATATTAGTACTTATAAATGTAGTTGGATAAAAAGTTAGAAAATTTCCCAATCTTTGTATGTAAAATCAGGTAAAACTTTTTGATGTGATAGCTGTTTGTTCACTTTATAATTATTTTAGGAGAGTATTTTACAGTGACTTGTGTGAAATCAGTGTGAAAGATGGCATGCAGGCTAGTTGGAAAGGAAGTGCCAGCTCTGGAGTCAGTTGATTCTTTGTATAATTTTTGTAGCAGGATGTCAGGAGACAATATAAAAACTTATTTTAATACTCTGTGTGTTCCCTGTACCTTTAGTTTTGAATTTATACTCCATTCCCATTAAAAATCCAATGATTTTGAGGCTTTATATTTGCCTCAGACATTTGAGGGAAGGGCTTTGGAAATCTCATCGTCCTGTTTCCAAGGAAAGAACTTTATTCAGAATTTTTCTGAATTGTAATTTATAGAAAAATTCAATCTTGAATTCTAAAGTAAAAAAAAAATCTTAAATAACATGATAGTGGTGTTATGTGTACCGTGAGTTTTTCTTTAACTTTTAAATATTTCAACCATTTATGTATTAAATATTTGTTATATTTAGTAGAAGTGTTTTTAGTTATTTTTCCCTGAGATTCTGCATACATGATTTTGTGCTCTAAATTAGACAAATTCAGTGGCATCCCTGAAACTAAATGAAATCCAAAAGGTCTTTGAAAAGAAATGGTAAATTCTTTTATTTTCATCTCTCAGTTTCATAATTGATACAGATTTGAATAATGTAACAGATTTATGAGTTTATTTCTAAACGTTTAGAGAAGCATCTTTCATGTGAACATCTTTCATATTATAAGTATAATTTTCAATAAATACTTGATTATGTATCAGAAATGTTATGTGTTCTGAATATTTTAATAGGAAATAATTTGGAGTTGGTGCAAATTTGACATTTGTGTGAAAAATATCCTTATGTGTTTAGGTTATCTTGATAAAAGGAATTGAAATTTGGCAGTTTCCTTTTGTACTGTTGTGCTTACATCATAATCCTAATAAGCTAGCTTCGAAATTGTGTTTTAGTTTTCATTATTTTAAGAGTTGACATCTCATTTTAATTTTTAAAATAAAGAGTTTCTCTTAACTTTGGCGGTCTGTCTTTGGCAGTCTGTCTTGGAGCATAAAGGCCCAGTGAAACTGTCTCTCCTCTCACAAGATTTAAAAATAAGAATAGTGTACTTAAAATATTTCAGATGTCTGAGTTATTGAGTTACTTCATTTTTTTGTTTTATTAAAATGATTATTCTTTTGCTTTGATAAAAATTGGTACACTACAAGAAAGCTGTAGAGGCTTTGAATCAAACTTTTGAGTTTTTATTTTAAAAAGTAACAAATGTTCTGTTTGCAATGTGCCCTTTTAGCATTACAATCCTTGGATGGGAAATATTTATTTTACTTACATTAATTTAAAAAATGTTACCTGTTATTGAAGAGATACATATTATAGAAGTCATTCTGGTTATTTTGTTAATCTCTTTAAAATAAGAAAAAATTGAAATTAGAATGTTTTTATTATACAGAGAAAAAATAATTCCAAAACCAGTTTTTCCCTCTGTAATTAGTACTTCTTCTTATTAGCTGAGGGCAGCAGCTACCCTCAGAATATTTAATCTAAAAGAAAAATTAGAGTTTTCTGGAAATTATACCGAATTTATATGTGAGATGCAGGAATTAATCATTTTCTGTTGGTAATTCCCGAATCTGATTTCCATCAAGGAGCAGGAGCTTGACAACCGGAGTTGAGGGAGACCTAACTGACTGGTTTGTTGTCCTCCTAGCGGGCTGCTTGGGAGTGAAGGCTGCCTGCTGGTGTTAGGTCCCTCCTCCCCTCCTCCCTCATGAATGACTTGAGCTGCTTACAGTTGCTTGTTGGATTATTTGGAGTACAAATATTAAGATTACATAATAAGATTTAGTAGTGATGTTTATATTTTTTAAACAAATTAATTTTGATATTCTGTATGTCAATTTTTTTTAGACCTCCTTAGCCACTTGTTTTGCTCAAGAAACTTTTGGGAAACAGTACAAACAAACTATAGGACTGGACTTCTTTTTGAGAAGGATAACATTGCCAGGTAAGAGATTAAAAAGTCTTAACCTAGACGATTGTGTAAGTCTTACAATGAGAGGTATAAGGCAGAAATGTGTAAAGTAAACCCTGAGTCTGCTGTACACAAAAATAACATGTAATTGGTCATTTTCTTCATGAGGTTCCCTTCACTGCCGTCTACCACAAGCGCACATTGCGCATGGATGTGAGAAAACCACCAGCAGCCCCTCGCTATTTCAGGCCACTATACATTTTTTGAGGATAAACAATAGTTGCTTATATAGTTTTGAAAGTCCTTAAAAAGTTAAATGCTATGCATTTGTTAACAGATACTAACTAAATGTGAAAAGATTGGGAAGGATTATTTTTTAAATATTATTTTGATTAGCTTCTGCTTCAGCTTTTTGTTTGCAAGTTGGAACAGAAGTATAATGTAGCTGTGGAACTTCTGTGCTCTAATATGTGAATGCTGTTTTATGCAAGGCAGCATGAAATTGCTGGCATTTAATAGACCACTAAAATTTAGGGTCCCTCGGCACTCATAAAAATACAGTTTGAGCATTCAAGATGTTTCATTTCACCATGCAAAGAAACTATTTAGATGCCAGTTGCCGCACATTTTGTGGGAAATACAGGGAAATAATAACACAAAACGAGTGGTTTATGTTTTAAGTTAGTTTCTGAACAATTGGGGCTTTAAAATGCCCCGTCTATTAAATTTCAGTGGTTAAATTATATGTTTAAAAGTGTTTGTTAACAGCAGTTTATCTTGATTGACTTTCTAAACATCTACCGTCATTGTGAAGACACATATCTGAGTAAAATTGCTCCAAGTGTAATGGCAGATTCATATATTGGAATTCATGGAGTGGGCTGGGGCTTAATAAATTCCAGTGTTACTGAATAAGTTAGCATCTCAGACACCGTCTCATGAAGCTATATGAACACCAAGGAAAGCTCCTGGTACTCAGAGGTGCTCTTCATACCTGAGTAGTACACTGTTGTATTTTGTGATGGTTTGTATTTGTTACCAAAGATGAATATATTGGGAGATACAGCATGAGGAAAAAGAGTTTTGATTATTTTGATTTTTCTATGACTAAGGTTATTGTTCAGCAGGGTTTAATGAGAAATACAGGTGTATTTTATTTCAATTGTGTTTTCTTTTGATACATTCAATACTGAAAATAATACTTTATTTGTATTATTATTGATAGATTAGTGCTAAATTCTGCATAATTGTGGCAATCCATTGTAGAATCCACACACAAGTTATAAAATATAAATGTTGAAAACTTTTCGGCATATTTTTCAGAAATGCTAGTGATATATGGAGAATTACAATCTAGCATTTAGTTGGCAGCTATTTTAATATTTACCAAATCACCAATTTTTTTCTCATTTTGTTTAATTTTTCTGATTCTTTTAGTTGAAGGGCTTAGCTGAAATATTATAAAAGGGTGATTTTGAGTTTTTTCTATATGTCATGATTGCTGATCTGTTGCACAGTACTATCAATTTTAAAATTTTGATTACTTTGTAAAACATTTTCATGTTCTCAGAATCCAAATTTATAGTATACTATTTTAGACTTAGAAAGTTTTTAGGTTACAAAATATTAGGATTTGTATTCTTTTAATGACTATATATTTTAGTTTTCTTGATGTTTTTATTTTGATAAGACATTTCAAAAAAAATTTCTCGTTTTGAAAGATAGTTGGTTTTCTACAGGAGATAGGGTGAAATAAACCCAAAATTCAGGTAGAAATGTCAGTGTGAAAGGTTTGTTTAGTTCATCTTGGTGTTCTTTCTCCAGTGGACATTATTGCAATGAGAACAATAAATCACAGGGTTCCTAGTCCTTTTTATAAGCGTCAGTGTAGTGAGGAGTATATTATTTGCTATGCAGAACACATGGCAGCATTTTTGAATTTAAAGTAAAGCGGTGCAACATGCGAATCTAGTGCTTATTACTAGATGAGTCAACCTTGCGCCAGTCACGTGGTGAGAGGGGCCGAGCCCCGTCCACCCATTCGCATTCTCTCCGCGCAGGCCTTCGAGGCCGTTACTTCACAGAGGCTCATCCGTTTTAGTGTATTTGCTGACCCGGTATGCTGTATAGTCTGGCTGCAGCCACTGTGCAGACTTTCTGCTGAAAGCAGTGTATCTGTTAGTCAGAGCTTCTGCTGATAGAGCTTCCTAGGAGCCTTAGTCAAAATACTTTCAGGAAGCTTGTGGGTACAGTCCAGTAAACAGCCTTCTACTGTGAGAAGGATTTCTAAGGTTTAGTACAAGAAGTGGGCAGTCTTGTGTTTTTAGTTCCATTTTGACTCTGTGGCACTTTAGGTAGGGTTAACCAAGGCACCAAGTGTGCTTTCACAGGGTCACCCTTGGACCCTCTCAGTGCCTTTGATTCACACTAAAAACAACTTACTTGTATTTTGTCACCTCATTTATTTTTGTTTTAGTAACTTGTCATTTCTTTCAGAGGAGCAGGGATTTGGTAGCATTTTACATTTGAGATTAGATTACTGACAATTTCCTTAATGTTTTTATTTCTTGTAAATTTGTATTAGATGGATTGTTTTTTTTTAGAAATTATATTTGATTACTCATACAGCTTTATAGTTAAGTCATTTTGAAAACTTGTAATAGGAGACTTCATATGTTTATTCCTGCAAAATACAAAATGATTTGAATCATCTTGTTTGATTTTGTTCTTCAGATAGAGAATTTTTTTTAGTTTTATGTGTTAATAAGCTTAAAATCAAATGTAGAAGTTGGAAATATATTTCTAGGTATATGGAGTAACTATATCATTTGTTGGTGCTGTAATAGTGAACTTTTTACTAGTATGACAGAAAACATACATTAATGACAATTCTACTGGATTATCATTAATGCCTAGCCATTTTTATTTTTGAAGGATTTTTTTTTGGGGGAGGGCTGGCTATCTTTATTTCTGAGTCACTAAAATTTATATCTGTTTTAACTAATTGAATTTACTGGTACATGTTAGGTATGCATAACCATCACATTCATCAGAGGGAATTTATACCTGGAACTTATATTTTGCAAAGCAAAACCAAGCAAACAGTTTTTCTTTGGAAATGTATGTATTTAAATGTGTACTCTCAGCAGTGAATAAACACTGAGTAGCTGAGTCAGGGTTTTGGAAGGATTGTAGTCAGAACTCGGCAGTGTATTAAGAAGTGTTCACAATACTTAGTTTAGATGGGATTTGAAGCTCAGCATATAAGAAGGAAAAGAAAAAAACTTCGTGCTATCTTGGCAGGAGGGTAAGCAATAGCGATGATACTAACCTTGAAGAAATGAGGTTAAATGATAGTAATTACTAGGTATTGCCTAAAATCTTACTGTATTAAAATTACTATTGTTAAGCCCTGTCTTGTAATGGAAATGAATAACTATTAAGAGTTTTCCAAATATTTATCTAGGGCTATCTGAAACTATTTTAATGTACCTTTGGTGACAGCAAGCTCCCTCACCTGCTTAGTTTCAGATGGTATTGTAGGAGTGTAATTTTAGCTTTAAATCTCACAAATTTAGATTTTTAAGAAGTGGAGTTTATAGAAGTTGTTGGACAGACTTAGTCGGGGACCTTTGCTGCCTCAGATCCCCAGGCTCCAAGAGCATCGGGGGGGCTGCTCCACGCACGTGGGAGGTGCAGCGTGCGACGTGGCTGGTGCAGTTGAGAAGCCCTTGTGCGCGCAGAGGGGAGCTGCTCTCTGAGACCCTCCGCACTGTGACAGGGGAGAGACTTAGCTCTGAATAGTGGAAAGGCTGTGATGCAGGACCCCCCCCCCACACACACGTGGGGGTGAAGCTTGGCCTGTGAATTCAGCGCCATACTTTCTTTTCAGGCGTGTGGTTAAGTACTGTGATTAACATTGTCTGCGTTAGCATCTTACACTGCTGTACATTCCTGTCTTAATAATCCTTTCTGATTTTGCAGCGAGATCATAGTTTCAGTTTTTATTTTGAATTTTCCTGGTTTGCAAATCTTTTAGAAGGCATCAATTGAGACTTTGGAAAAAACTGCATAGTTTTGTGAGGAGAAATAGTTTGAAATTTAAGTCTACCGTTGTACATTGGCCATGTTACTTAGCTTTTATAGCTTAGTTATTAGTTACATTGATAAAAGGGTTTATCTTAAATATTTGATTTAGTCGGATGTTTTATAAAATGCACAGTGAATTTTAAAGAGTGTCGTCCGATGTCTTAGGGTGCTTTTGTATGCTTGTGTTCATGAGGGCTTCGAAATAGCTAGTCATTGCAGTGTATATGCTTTGAACAGGTGTGAATGCATCAAATATTTAGAGATGTCCTGGGCCTCTGCAGCCCATACCAGTGCAGAGCAAGACTATCAACTGTGTATGTTTTAGAAGTTAAATTTGAAACGTAAATTTCGATTGTTTACTTTTCCGTATGCTAATTGACATTGAAATTAAAAACACTTCATTCATTTGTTTTGAAATTGTGGGTGAATCTTTTTAGTCTGTTATTATTCTGTGAGGGTTTAGAACTCAGACTTTAGAACTGACAGTAGAATACCTATGTATGGTTGGGTGGGTTAGTACATCAAGCTTCAGTTTTTATTTTTGAAGTCTATTTTTTACTCTATAAGTGCTTTATTGTTTTCTCCTCTAAGAATTGGTGTTCCTTCCCTTATTCCTTCCTACCCTCCTTTTTCTCTTCCACTTTCTGCCTGCATTTTTTTCTTCCTCCTTTATTTTTCTACAGGCTCAAGTTTTTAAATTAAAGCTTATTTTACTTTCTTTTGTTTTGAAAAATATTATAAGTAATGTTTCTTGGAAGTAGAGAAATCTTGTTTCACAACTGTGATTTCTCTGACATTATTTTCATAACTCCAAATATTTGATTATAAGAGTTTGTAGAATAAAAGGCAAATTGAGTTGTTTGCCATTTTGATGTAGGGTTTTGTGACGTTGTACTCAGCTGTTATGTTGTTACTTTTGCATGTTCTTATTTATGTTCTTTTTTTCTATTTTAGGAAATTTTAATGTTACACTTCAAGTTTGGGATATAGGAGGGCAAACAATAGGAGGAAAAATGTTGGATAAATATATCTATGGAGCACAGGTATGGAATGAATTCTGATTATTGTAGAATTGAATTAATCCTTTTGAAAACACATGCAGGTGTACACACACACACGCGCGCACACGCACGCACGCACGCACGCACACACTCTTCCTAATCTTATTTTTATCTGATATGTAGAGAGACTATTTGTACGTTTGTACTGGTATTTTGGTTTCATTTTCTCCAAATTATGTTGAGAATGGTGTATGAGTGGGTGACACTAACTGGTGGGAACTGGAAAACTTTCAAAGTGTTCACATGCCGCTTGCATTACTAAGTATTACTGTCAGCAGTTGAGTAAGTACAATAATAAATGATATTTTGATATTAACTGATTTTAATATAGTGTCTGTTGTCTGTGATTTCAGTTTGTAACTTGGTCTAGCAAGAAATTATAATTCTTCAAATGTAGCTGGGCGTGGAGGCACAGGCCTGTAATTCCAACACCTGTGAGCCTCAGGCAGCCAGCCTGGGCTACAGAGCAAGACCATGAAATTCCAAACCAATCCCCCCTCGTAGGAATCTTCCCCAAAGAGTTCAAGGTCATCGTATTGCAGGGATGCATGCCTGTACTTGTAGCAGTACAATTTATAATAACTAGATTTTGAAAACAATGTATATGTCCATCAACAGGTTAATGGATAAAGACAATGTCGTATTTGTGCATGATGGAGTATTACTCTGCCCTGAAGAAAGATAAACTTGAGCCATTTGTTGGCAGATGGATGCAACTTGAGAACATAGTGTTGAGTGAAGTAAAACAGATACACAAGCTTAAGTGTCACCTGGTGTCTCCTCTGTGAAAATATATGTGTGTGAAGGTGCGAAATAGAACATAGATAACTGGAAGCAGGGAGAAAAGTTCACATATGTCATTGCCCAAATTATCTGATGTTTCAGAGATATTTTATATACTAATTTGCTTTATTTATTTATTTGTATTTTAGGGAAGGGTCTACAGGGTGTTCAGGGTCTCACTACTAGATCAGACTCATAGTGATCTGCCTCTTTACAGCCTCCCAAGAAGTGGGATTACAGGTGCACGCCACAACGCCCAGTCTTAATTTGCTTCATTTGTTCTTCTAGTTTCTTTTTGTTCACTGAAAGGAAAATTTTGTCCTGTTTTCTTCTTTGTAGGAGTTATTTTCATCTATGTCTTGTACTCGAGTAATATTTTGGACATTCTTTTTTAAAGTTTTTTTAAAAATTTTATTTATTTATGGGGTACAGAGTCTCGCTATGCAGCCTGGACTCATGGTGACCCTCATGTCACAGCCTTGTCGGTGCTGGGATTGCAGGCGTGGGCCACCATGCCCGGTTTTGGTGGTCAACATGGCACGCCCAGGGTTCTGGGTCCAGTATGGCACGTGGTACTAGGGATCGAACCCAGGTCTTTGTGCTTGCCAGGCAGGTGCTTAGACCTCTGAGCCATCTCCCCAGCCCTCATTTTGGGTATTCTTTTAAGATCGTGATATACTACATGTTAACTATTGTCATTCTGTATTTTGTTGTGGAATATTTTTTCATGGAAGTAATGAGTACTTTTTGTATTTTTATTACTACTTTCTTGTATTATTAAAAGAAAAAAAGAAAAAAATGCAAAAATAGAACACAGTCCCCCCTAATAAAATATATTAGACATATTTATATTTTATGGCAGATAACTAAGTAGTACTATATTTATGCAGATAAAATAAACTAATATGATATGTATTTTCAGAAAAAAACTATACATAGCAAGAAAATCACTTGAATAATTACATAAAAATTATTTCGCAGCATGAGCTTACAACAGACATAGTTTATAAGTTTTTAGATAAAACACAATAGAAACATACATATGGTGGTAGTAATATACTTAGAAAAGTTAATTACTTCACCCTGAGCATATTCAATGAAGTAGTTGCAATTTTGATGCTTTGCCACATTGGTTTTGATTTAATAACTGAGATTTAGAAATACCGTAATGCCCCGAGTATGATGAAGTGGCATGCTGTGCATGGTGTAAGCTGAGCGTGAAGTGTGTGACCCTGATGGATGTTGCCTTTATTTATTTATTTTTGTATTTCTGTATTTTAGGAAGGGTCTTCAGGGTGCTCAGGGTCTCAATACTAGATTGGACTCGTAGTGATGTGCCTGTTTACAGCGAGCTGTGATTACAGGCGTGCACCACCACGCCCAGTCTCTGCCTTTAATTTTGTTTGTTCCTATGCTTTAAATTGGTGTTATATAAAAAAATTAATGTTTATCTTTCACATCATCCTGAGACATATGAGAACAGTACTTAAAAATCTTCATTTAGGTTTTTGTTGGGTTTGAGTATCAAGAGCAGAGCTTTGTATTTGGAAGTATGTTTCTTTTAAAGAATGAATCAATAGAACGTAGAAGATGTTGACACCCTTTTTTTAAAAAATTTTTTATTTATTTGTATGTGTGTGTGTGTGTGGGGGCAGCTCAGCCCACCAGGGGGCAGCACTGGCTGGCACGTGGTGATGGGGGATTGAACCGTGGTCCCTGTGCTTTGCTAAGCTTGTTCTAAGTAGGTGCTTTAGACCACTGAGCCATCTCACCAGCCCCTCATGTATACATTTGACTCTTAAAATTTTCCCTTTGTTTTTTTCTTCTGCATTCTTTTGTCTCCTGCAAAATCTTTCAGCTCATATTTAACATTTACATTTGTGATCGTGAGTGTATTTTTCTGTACACTTACTTTTAAAATCTTTATCTCAGACTTTTGTGTCTGGTTGTTTGCTATTTTAATTTTTAAAAATTGATTAAAGTGTACATTATGCTAAAGATACTGGACAGAGACATGTGGGAAATGATAATCCTTATTTTACTTATGTGGTTGGTAAAGTGTGAGTTACAAATCGGTTTTCACTTTTGCATGATAAAAATCTATCTTCAGGCCAGATATAGGACCTTTTCTCCGTTTTGTTTTTCTTTTCTTTTCCTTTCCTTCTCTCTCTCTCTCTCTCTCTCTCTCTCTCTCTGGTCATTTTTTTGAGGCAGGACTTTGTTATGCATTTGAGGCTGGCCTTTGAGAACTCACTTTGTAGCCTCGGCTGGTCTCAAACTCATAGTGATTCTCCTGACTCAGCCTCTTGAGTGCTGGGGATTATAGGTGTGTGCCACAGTACCTGGCCTAGGATTTCAAAAAATATAAATTAACAGTAGTCTGAATTCTAGTGATATTTGACTGTAGTTGTCAAATAGAATAGCTTTTCTTAGTATAGCTAGAGTTAGTGAAAGAGGAATACTTTACACATTTCAGAGTAATAGGAAATTCAATTAAATCTCATTTTTCTTCACTTAAAATTTAGAGGAATGAGTATCAAGAGCAGATAACATTATGATGATAAACATTATGTTCATGAATAGAATTCTGTGATGCTGTTTTGCTTAAAATAATTTTAAATTTATTTAGATTACTTGAAATTTATTTGAAGCATATAAAAATAAGCACTGATGTGGAAGTCACACGATGTAAAATTAACCATTCTTGGTTTCCTTTCTTTCTTTTCTTTTCTTTTCTTTTCTTTTCTTTTCTTTTTTCTTTCTTTCTTTCTTTCTTTCTTTCTTTCTTTCTTTTTTTTTTCCATTTGCATGTTTTTCCTTCAATCCTTCCTCTGCTCTCCATTTACAAAAGCTTTGTTTCCATGTTTTCCCTTTCTCATTTTTTAAATTTAAAGATTTGGTTTTTACTTTTTCCTTCTTTCTTCTCCTCATCCCCCTTCCTTGTTCCCCTCCTGTTTGAGCATTTTTTTTCCTATTCCATGATATCTATAAATTAACAATTCTGAAATGTGTTATCAGCAGCATTTTGTTCCTTCACAATCTTGTGCAATATTCTTATATTTTACGTTATATTCACTGTATATTTTATGTTATTACATAGCTCCTTACAATCAGCAGACATTATTGTGAAGATTTGTAGAAATTTTAAGAATTTCCATGCTTTTTAAGAGTAGCTGGGTGTAGTAAAATGTCTCTCTTCTGGGCTGGCGAGATGGCTCAGCCTACTAACGTTCCTGCTTAGGCAAGCTCAGGCAAGTGCAGGGACCGCGGTTCAATCCCCGGCACCACATGCCAGCCAGCCCTGCCCCCAGGTGGGCTGAGCAGGCCAGAGTCTGGACGTAGTGGCGCACGCCTGTAACCTCAGCGCTGGGGAGGCTGAAAACAGGAGAATCACTGTGAGTCAGAGCTGTATAGTGAGACCCTGCAACAACCAAATACATTAAAAAAAGTCTCTCTTCTCTTTTAATATACTTCATTTCTTGGGAGAAAGTCAACATTCCTTTGTAGAACTTGTCCTCTACGGCTTCTGTGTTGAAGTATGTCAGCATTTTCACCTGTTGATTAAACATTGTATTTACACTTTTTAATTCTGTGACTTTGGTACACACAAACAACAATGTAGCATAAGTTTTTGAGAAGTTCCTGAATATTTTTATGAAATTATCCTAGAAAACTGGGAATTCTGAGATGGTGAAATGAATTGGCATAAATTGATGACGTAGTAACTTCTCTGCTTCCAGTGAGATTCCAAACTAACTGCTGTGTAAAACACATAAAGTACGTTTATCAGTAGCCTGTTTTGCTATAGTACAGCGAAAGAGTACTGTGTGATGCTCAGTAATAATAGTGAGCGAAGCTCTCATTATAACAGCGATGGAGAAAAATATTGCTTTTCAAAGACAATGCCTTTAAAATTTCTAATAATAATTATAAATCATATATTCGTATGTTCTTCAAAGGAGAACTCATTTGCTTCTAGACTTGTAGATATTTGGGGAATACTATGGATTTGGGCCATGTGTTAGAAATAAAAAATCTTTTGCAAATAATGTTTTTATAAACTAGTTGGAGGGGTATTAGTTTAGGTTTTTTGGATTTTTTTTTTTTTGGTACCAGGAATTGAACTTAGGACCTTGTACTCAAGGCAGGTGCTGGTGCCACTGAGCTATATCCATGGCCCAGGGGGCATTAACGTATTA